ATCTTCTAACAGGAATTCTTAAACGAAGCTTAAAATCAAATGATTTTCCTGCTGTAATTGGACCACTAACAATTTGTCCTGTTCTGCATGTTCCCGAATGACTCCATACATCTTCATGTCGAGTCTTTGAGAAAACATCTACTTTCTTTATTTGTTCGGTAGTTTGTGAGTTAGAAGTTATATATGCTTCTTCTCTTGCGTTGTCTTGAGAATATACGATACGACCATTTGCAAGGATTTGATATCCAGCAACTGCATAGAAAGCGTCATCGAAACCAATCCAAAATCCTGGTGGGTTTGTTTTATTGGAACCTGAACCAATTTCTTTATCTACAATAAATTGACCTTCCATTTTATACGTAATGAATGTATTGTAAAGGTCCAACATATTTTCACCAGGAGGTGAGAGATTGAATGTTACCCATGTGTTATCTTTAGCAGTTCCAGGTTGTGATGGAATCTTTGCGTCAGAATATTTTCTATTAGTGTCACCAATTTGAACTGCATTGTCTATGATATCGAAATATGAGCGAATCTGATGAATATGCTCTGCTGGAGTAAATTCGTTTAGCTATTCGTTCTGCATGTATTTACTTCAGATAAAAATATCTATTTACTTCATTATTCTCACTCTTCTTCTTGGCATTCGTGGTGGAAGTTGTTTCTTGACATTTTCAATGAACTGTACATTCTCTTTTGTCTCAACTTCTTTCACTGGTGGGTCAGGGTTCTTTGACTCGGTTTGCTTTTCAATGAAATTCACGAACTTTGCAATAAGCTCTTGGTTCGTTATTGAAAGAACATCTGGCTTCTTTTCTTCTGGTTCTATTGACTTTTCAGTTTGAATAGAAGGTTTTATATGGGCTTCGCCCTCGGTGCCATACACCTTAATGTTGTCGCTTTCTGCATTCGCTAATGGAACCTTTCTTTTTCTTACGTATATTTTACCATCTTTACTCTGACTTACGTAATAGAAAGGATGTTGTATTCCTCTTGCGTCATTTAATATAATAGACTCTCGCTCTGATTTTGACAAGCTCATTTTACATCGGTTAAAGTTTTAATTTTGTTTTTTATCTGCAGTCAAATGACTCAGACAAGCCCTACGGACAAGACCCAAGGGGTCATAGATGTTGAAGCATTGAAGAAAGAAATTCGTGAGCAAATTTTATCCGAACTGAAGGAACAAAAGCCAGAGAGACCAAAGAGAAAACTTAGTGAAAAACAACTTGCTGCATTAGCTGCTGGAAGACAAAAGAACCCACGTTTGCTGGCGAAGAAAGCTAGAGAAGAAGCTGAAGCAAAAGCTAAAGAAGCTGAAGCAAAGAAAGAGTAAATGGTTTATTTTATATCCGAATTAAATGTATAGACAAATACCTTTATCTGTTGCGTTCAGTAGTGAAAACCCTGACGTCAAAATAAAGGGGAACAGAGTAACGTTTAAGTTTCCAACAGACTGGATTGTGAACATAAATGAAGAGAAGTACATTGGCATAACATCTATGTATATAACACGTGCTTTCAGAAAGGTTGACTTTATACTTCAAGTCGAGATAGAAAATGACGAACAGTCTTTAAGCGCCCAAAACATTCACATATACAAATACTTTAAAGACGATACAACATTGTTGCAATGTATGATTTCATTTAATGAGATGTTCGAGAAAAAGTTCAACATTGAAGTACAAACTTTACAGCCTTTACGTGAGTTTCTTGCACAACTGAAAGAAGAAGGTAGTCAGCCACAACTTATAGACTTTCATTATGAATTTAATGAAAATGAAGATGGAACACATGACTGTCAGTTTGTTGTATTCTCACCATTCAATGAAGTCGCTAAAGAGAAAGAAAATCCATTACGTATAAGATTTCAAATCTCTGAACCAAGTGATGATTTCAAGAATGTTTTCAATTATGATGCAATGCTTCCGAGGAAAAATGAATTTTCAAAGATTGTAACACCTGGCATTTGGGATAGAAAGCAAGCTATATTATATTCAAACTTAAGTAAGGGAGTTGAAAATGAGTTCATTGGTCATACAAGAACTTCACCACTTCCTAACCCTAAATACTATAAATTAACTGGCTTCAATCGTGAGTTTTGGATAGACATGTTCTCCACTCATGACCATAACTGCCCAGTGTTCTTACCTCCAGACCATAAGGACTGTCTCTACATTGAAGCACAACTCTTAAACTCTACCATCGCAGTATTGTAAATGACCACATGGACTTCGCCCTTGCCGCTAGCGGCTTATTTTTATCATGAATGACCTCATTGCTGACAAAAATAAATGACCTTATTATTTTTCTCATTCATGACCTCAGAACTTAAGCTTTCTTATGAATGAAGTCTTAGTCTGAATAGAAAAGTTAAACTTTTCAGCAAAGCAAGGACTAGAAGACTTACATAAGTCAAATCCAATCTCATGACCATCATGAAGTGCTTTGTAAAGTTTCATAACACTGAACTCAGAGTCTTTTGTCAAATTTTCCTTGCGGAACCATTAAACCTTTATCTTCATCATAGAAACACTGAACAGAGTCAGGAAACATTTCATTAGCGGTTAAAGCAATAACATCTTGCTTCACGCCTTTCATTCTGCAGTGAAATGCAACTTCATTATAAATCATTCGTGAGTAAGTCTATGTAAGTCTTCTTTCCACAAAATATTGACTTGTATGCTAAACTTTGTTTATCTTTTGTGATTTCTGCAAAGTCGCTATGAAATTGACCAAGGTTTTTACCAATGAGAACTCTTCCATAACGTTTCTCAAACTCTTCAGCTAAACGAGGGATATCTTCATTGTAGAGATGCATACTGTCCGTATCGCTATAAAAGATGTCCATTCCTAAGTCCTCAGCAGTACAGAATACTTCACACATTATTCTCTTCGACATAGACAGAATGTTAACCAACAAGTGGACAGAAGTTAAAGTGTCTGCAAATGCTTTTCGTTAGCTTGAAAATAGTTTTATCTGAACCATCCAAACCTTCGAACTTCACTATATGGTTGTAGTTTCTGATGGCATATCTTATAGCATCTTTGTCATCTACTATGGTTATTTTTGACTCAATAGGAGATAGAATAGTTTTGCCATAAATACTGTTCAGAATGAGCTTTATATTTTCTTGCAAAGGATTTCCTTCTTTCTTATACTTTAACCTTAACTCAAACAACTTCTTTACTTCATCTCTTATTCTAATATCTCTGTTTCCATCGTAATAGTATCCTTGCAACACTTCACATTTGACACCTTGATATTTTATGAGGTCTTGTAATGTTATATGGTCAACATACATTAAACAGCAAGTGTTTGAACTTCTGGGAACGTTAAGCTCTGGATTTAGTTCAGGGTCACAAACTATTAAAGGAAAGTGTCTATGTATTCCAATCTCTGTTATCTTAATGAGAACAAAGAAGCCAGACATAAACTTTTCACCAATGGGTTCCTTTTGGTCGTCATCGAATAAATGCTTTAACAAATATTCAGAACTTAACATCTCATCCTTCAATACTTTTGGAATTCCTTCTAAAGTATAAAGTCTTGCTATAGCGGATGGATATAATGAAACAGCGTCGAAGTCAGCAATGAGTTTCTTTTCGCTCTTTTGTTTAATGTTATCTGACAGCATACATCTTCCACCTTGAATACAGCGTGAAATAAATACTCTTGGTTTATTTGAGAGGTCATATAAATTTCCATTCGGGAAGTACACTCTGTTCTCAAACAATTTGTTAGCAATTGAACAAATACTAACGTAGTCATAAACGTTTAAATCAAATTCTTTCAATATGTCATTGCGGAACTTAACAAAACCTTCTCTTAAAATTCTTACATCTTGTTTGCAATAAAATGTGCTATACTTTTCTAAATCGAAATGGTTTTCATCTATTCTGCAACCTTTGATGGAATCTATGTTTTTCATGAATGTATCTGCATCCCGGATAAACTTACATGCTTCAGAAATGACACCAGTTCTGTTGTCATTTGCTAACAAAACACTGCTGTAGTAGTTGTATGGAAATACTTCTTTCGGTCCTGTTTGTAAGTTAAACATAGCAGGAAATAGTTTAAGCTTCTTATTTATAACACTGTAAGAGTCTTTTATAATAATTGCCCTTCCTTTATATAAGCCAGTTATTTGCATTGTTCGTGAACCTTTAATGATGGGTTCCTTTCACTTCTGTCATGTGTCTTAAGATGAAGTTTATATCATAACTGAGGTTATGGAAATATATTAAACTCTTGTCAGGAAGTCGTTCCAAAAATTCTGTTGCACAGTTCTGACCCAAATGCTTTCACTCACTGAACCATCTTCACTGTCGTAACAGATGTTAAAAGCTTTATGAAAGCCGTTCTGTGCTACACTCAAAGTCAGCAAAGAAAACATGCTCAGGAATGAACTTACATTTAGCTTTATTTACTTCTTTTGACTCTGCTTTCTTCTTCAGTTGTACACAATACTTTGGAGCATATGTCAAATCTTTAAATGGTGCAAGGTTCTGTTTATATAAGTCAGTCGTATATGTGAAAAGTTCTCCATAAGAAATAGGTTCGAAATATTTGCACTCCCACAATGTTTTCATAACATCCCATAAGCGGTGTAGTTCTATCCATGCGAACTACATATTTATCTTCTCTCTTTGTATAAATCTTCATCTGTTTCTCAATGTTCATTCCACCACACTCCTTCAAGATTTCTATATAGTTTGCGAATGAAATATGTTGTCATTGGTAATCTTTCATTTAGATGTAGTGGTCTTCAACAAGAAGTAAGTCAATAGTTCGAACAGTTTCACATTCTTTTGGTATATATCTCTTTATTTCATTATGTCTTGAGTCATTGAAATAAACCAATGGTAACATTAAATGCTATACCTGTTGCGTCAGAAATTTCTTGTACTTTACTTTGAGGAAAGTCTCTAACACGAATGACTTCTCTCATGTGGTCAATAGTTTCTTCATTTACTCCAGCCTGAATGCAAGCATAAACGAAGCAGTTATCTTCTGTCATAAGTGTTGCAGTTCTTTTGTTCAGTTCATTGAAGATTTGGTAGCGCTCAAGATTTATAGGTAATGTGCAAAGATACTTCCAGAACTGACCGCTTCTTTTCTTATAAAACTTCTTTTCACCATTATCTTTCCAAAAGCTTTCTATAAGTGCTGGGTTTCCTGTTTGCTTAAGAGCTTCCAAAATGGCTTTCTGGTCATTTGTCAGTGTGCTTTCATCTCTATATGGTCTCTTTTTTGGTTTGCCTTTCTTTACATCTGACATCGTTAAGCCTTCATATTCTGTTAAATCATACATCTTTATTTCAGTAAGATTCTTTATGTTTGTCAAGAAGAAGTCATAGTGCATTTCAACAATACCTGCAGCATTTGCTTCTATCTCTGATATAAAGTTCTCCTTCAAGAGCTGATGTAGTAATGTTCCAATATTATTGAGGTTTAACGTAGAACATTCATACTTTCCACCAAGTTTATAACATACCATCCATCTTTGTTGGGAGTTTATTTTAATCTTCTCTAAGAGTCTCATGAAAACCTTACCGAAATGTTTGTGTAAGTAGTCTCTGTTTGGTTCATCTAAAGCTTCGATGTTAAAGTCAATGAGTCTATTGCCTGACTTCACATTTCTCTTCCTATTCTCTTCATCTTTCTTTAACCATCTCTCACCTTCTTTTGGTATGTCGTCAATGGAACGAATGACATCGTTAGCTTTGCGAACTTGTTCTATAGCACTTTTAAACATCTCTCTTCTCTGTTGTTTCAGTGTGTCGTCTCTCTTTCGTGTTTTACCAACGTTCGCATTTGTTATGTCATACATTTCTCTTCTTACTTCATGAGGTACAGCTCTTCTTGTTTCACCAACGTTTGAGTTCGTAAGTTCAAACATCTCTTGACGAACGTCATGAGAAAGAGCTTTACGAGTATGACCAACGTTTGCATTTGTTATGTCAAACATTTCTCTTCTTACTTCATGAGGTACTGAACGTCTATGATATAAGTCAATAGCAACGTCATTTAAAGGAAATGCTCTTGCATGGACTTCGTCCTCGCCGCGTTGCGGCTTTATGAACTCATGAATTCTATCATAACTTATTGCACCATTATAGTCATTGAGGATGTCAGCGAGTGCTTTTTTGTTTGTTGCGTAATGCTTTGCAACATCTATATTAGCTTCTGTAAGAAGTTGTTTTATTTCCGAGTGTTCTAACTTAGACAACTTCCGATACATCTTTAGTAGGAAATAAAAAAATATTTTTTTTGAAAAAATTAGATTAGATTTTTTTAAGTTATTTTTCAAAATAATTTAATATTTTTATTTTAATGAAACACATGCAGATTGCAAGTTCTTTTCATACAATGCTCTCGCTACTGCCATCAAGAATGAGTTCAATAATGCTTCAAATGTTAATGTTATCTTTAACAAGAAGTTTGTGAAAGAATCTAAGTTTGGTCAGTATGTCAGACCATTAGCTATCGTCATTGACCGCAAACGTTATACTTCACAAGAGTTAGCAGTAGTTTTGAAACAAAAGAGTTTCTTCGTGAATGTCAAAGATACTCATTATACTGTCATAAAGAACTCTAACATTGACTTCTTCAGTATTGCTTTAAATCTTTCCGAACAGAAAGAATATAAGAAGGGTGAAACAAATGTGAAATATTATCCTTCATCTCTGAAGACAATAACGAACAAAGATGTTATACAGAAATTCTTACCAAAGGTTGAAGAAGCTTCTATTGACATTGACGAAGGAAGTGAAATGGTTGAAGAAATAGACCCTGAAGCTATTTAAGCAAAAATATATTTTTGGTTAGTCTTCATATGGATATTTTACAACAATTCCCCAATGTATAAACTTTTCATACGCTTTTTCATAAGCTTTATATACCTTCAGAAATTTTGCATAATCTTTAGAAGCATTTAGATATTGTTTAAATGCTTTGTATGTCTTCAGAAATTTTGCATAATCTTTTACATGTTGTTCGTTCTCTTCTTCTGTCATGAGTTCCGAATATTCTAAATTCATGTTCTTTCATATGAGATAAATTTTATAAAAAATATAGCTTAGATTTTTTTATTCTTCCTCTTTGAAGTTATCGAAATATTCTGTTATTTTTTCCTTCAGTAATGGCAAGTCTTCTTTGAATGTAAGTATTGTGCAACCTTTGATGTCATAGTGTGTTTGAGGAAGAGTATTTTTGACAATTTCCTTTATTTGCTCATTCGGTGTCATTGAAATCGGTAAGTTTTCACGATAGAACCAGTTTCTGTCAGATTTATATATCTTAGCTAAGTCATAAAAGCTCTTATTGTTTCTTCTGACTAAATGTAACATAACCATATCTTTATCTTCTTCTTTCTCCATCTCTTCAGTATATATCATATACTTATAGTTCTTTTCCTTTCCTTTTGGTGCTGAACGCGGTATTCTTTTCTGTATGCTTTTGTCTTTTGCTTCAATGACTTCATCTTTTGCTTGAAGTTTCTTTTCCATCTCTCCACGTTCTGCTTTATATAGTTCATCTAACATCATGAAAATATAACAAGCATAACGAGGTGAAGCCCACATTGCTACAGCATTTACTAAAAGTCTATGAATATAATAACCTTTCAAACCAGGAGCCAAATTCTTGCGATTTTCATACGGAATCTCTTCTCTCGGTTTTCCGAGGGAAGCAATCATATGAGGAAATTCTTCTAAAAGTTCTTTTGTCTGTTGGTTTTCAAACCAATGATATGCTTGCTTTGTAGAACGAAGAGCATTCATTATACTTTGCATTTGGTACATGTCATCTTTGACCGAACGAATGAGGCGAAGTTGTTTGTTATATTGTATGTATTCGTATTCTTCATTTATGGCTTCATGAACGATAGCAGTTGTTGTGTTCTCTAATGTTGACATTTCTGTTCTTACATACAAAATAAAAAAATAAATAAAAATAAAACTAACTTTATTTTTCTGTGTTAAAGAAATGTTAAAAATTCATGGTTACATATGTGAAAAGAAGTCACGAACAAATGAAGGTCATAAGATTTGTCTTGAAAAATACAAGACTTGTTCTGAAAAAATACAAGACTTGTCTTGAATCAGGACAAAACTTTACAAAATGTAAACTTTACATAACCGTTTCTATCGTACATGATATTTAGTTGACATTGTAAACTATCTTCATGTAAAGTATGGCGGTTTGAAACCGTCGGGAACCTTCACTTTTTTGACGAAGTGCGAATCTTCACTTCGTCAAAAAGTGACATTTGTAAAGTTGGACGATAGGATTTCCTGAAAAAATACAAGACTTGTCTTGAATCAGGACAAGATTTGTCTTGAAAAAATACAAGACTTGTCTTGAATCAGGACAAGATTTGTCTTGAAAAAATACAAGACTTGTCTTGAATCAGGACAATTGTTCTCAAATTTGAGAACTTTACAAGAAAAACTGACTAAAAAGTGCAAGTCTTGTTCTGAATCAGGATAAGATTTGTCTTGAAAAAATACAAGACTTGTTCTGAAAAAATACAAGACTTGTCTTGAATCAGGACAAAACTTTACAAAATGTAAACTTTACATAACCGTTTCTATCGTACATGATATTTAGTTGACATTGTAAACTATCTTCATGTAAAGTATGGCGGTTTGAAACCGTCGGGAACCTTCACTTTTTTGACGAAGTGCGAATCTTCACTTCGTGTCATGATGCAAAAATAAATGGTTCATTTACTCACAATATTTTTTTACAAAACGACCCCAAACTTTTAACTTCTTTTCTGCAGTTTCTAATGCTATCTTAGCGAGTTCATATTCTCTAAATTCTCTCTTTAAATCTTCTTGTTCCCATTGGTCTAGTTCGTATGGAGAATCTCTATGATCATAACATATCTCACGTTCATGTTCTAATTGTTTTTCATGCATTTTTCTAACTTCTTGTTCGAACAAAGGTTTAGCATTCTCTACTGTATCTTCGAGTTCTTCTTCATCTAACTTCTCATGAACTTTCTTGTCTATGGAGTCCATAATATCTTTGACATAAAATGCATACTTTACAGAGCACATTCAGCAACAAAATGAACGAAGTCAGGATGTATGTAAATACCTTTGAATTCATTTATAACACCCTTAGTAAGCTCATAAAATGCTTGTTTTTGAGGTCGAGCCACTTTTGGCTCGACCGTATTCTTTCAACCAAAACTCAAGAATTTCCTGCATTTTAGCACTATTGAGAAATCTGTTTAAATGGTTTAACTTTCCTGCTTCTCTTGCCATCTTTGTTGCATTAATGTAACCATCCTTGTCTCTACGTAAGACTTCAATACCGTTATAAGTGCCTTTTGTGAATGTTTCGCCATTAGATTTGTTAGTGAATGTTTTTGCTTCGACTGACATTTCTGTTCTTACCTACAAGATAAAAAGTTAGAAAAAAATAAAACTAACGTTATTTTTCTATCATTAAGAAATACATGAAAATTCATTATTTTTGTTCATTTATGTTAAAATAAATGGTACCATTAATGATATCATGACTGTTCTCGTTCATGTCTGATTTACATCCAACGAAAAAGTTTAGAAGAACTTTCTTATTCTTTCTGGCATATTTTTATCTTTCCAGTACTCCCGCTCTAATGGTCCCAGATGTGTTGGCTTCGACTCTCTCAAGTTCTTAGATGGTATAACATCTTCAACGCCTCCTTCATATCTTACTTTATAAAGTGTCATCGTTTATGTTAGCCAAGTATTTCAATAACCACCTCGCTTTGCTTCGTCAATGGTTTTAGCAAGTTTGCCATTACTACTTTCGACTAATTTATGACGAGGGTAAAATGCTATGGAGTCGTCAGCAGCTTTTTAAGATATCCATTACCTTGCGTTGAATCTACTATATAATAATTTCGACTTAACCTTAAACGTTTCTTTGTCAACGGTTTGTCGTCAAGAACTACACGAACTTTTGTACCAGGAATGAGTGTAAATTGTGTTGAATTTCTGATATTTTGTGTTTGGCTTCGTTTCTTTTGTATATACTTTTCTTCTTGTTGTGTGTCATTGAATTTGGTGTATATCCTGTTGTAGAATGTGTTGAGGAATTATATACTTCGAGAAAATGTTTCATTGTTTCTTCAGTAAAGTCTCGCTCTTGATTTAAATCTCTGAGGTCCTTATGAAGCGGTTTATGATACCGAGTATGTTATGGTTATGGTCTTCAGTAGTGTAGTGAGTTATGTTATGCTTAATGAGAAAATCTGTGATTTCATTGCTGAGGTATGCTGAATCCTGGTCTGATGTTAAAGTACTTGGTTATGTTCTGCTACAAACTTTTGTAAAACTCTTAACACTTCACGAGTTCCTTTATTTTTCATTGGATATGCATATGCTTTGCGAGTGTTAACATTAATGAAGATGAGGAATGGTTTATGTCCTCCTTTTCTGCTTTGAATGAGAGTGTCAAATTGGTATGCGTCAGGAGTGTTGGAGTAAATTGGTAAAAAGTAGTCGTAAGGGTTTATTTTTGTTTGATGTACAACATTTTTGTCAAAGAACTTTTTCACTTCAGCTCTGTTAGTAAATCCCCAACTTTTTGCTGCTTCATTGAAGTTCTTAAATGACCTCCATGGATTTTGTTCGAATACTTCTTTCAAGCTCATTTATGTAAAGTTAAAGATTTTAAGCAGCTCTGAACCATGCGAATATAGTCATAAATGGTGGCATATAATCTTCACCCGAACCTGTTGGATTTGTTGTGAAAGTGTGTGAATGATTTCCTGTGGTTCCACAGAAAATACCTGCGCTTGAATCTACTGGGTCACTTGAAATATCATATCTATTCATTCCCTGTCTATCCGAACCTGCTGCAAGATTTGTATAACCTCTTTTTGTTATTGAATGTGAATGATTACCTGTTGTGTTTGTAGTTCCTGTATGAGTGTGCGGTGGAAGGTTTGCTTCTTTAATTTTCTTCGAA